TCCTGAAACGTCAGTGTTAGAAATGACCCTAATTTCTGTATTTGACATACGCAAGAGGTATATTCAAGAGATTTTTGCATCTACCATTCCTAGACAGATATCTGCTTTTCTGTAGAAATAAAGCAATGAAACATTGAAAAGAAAGTTATGGATGAGAATGCTGAGACAGTCCAAAATCTAGTGACAAAAAAAAAAAAAAAGATGTGTGTGATAGCTCATCTGTATGATATCTGCATTCTCTGTTTTCTTAACTTCCTTTGCCACTTAATAGGGTGAGGAATTTGGAATGCTGTTTAGCTACCTCTCCCTTGTCAGTTATCCCAATAAATAAGGAATTAAACTCTAGGATTAGCTATACAATAGATTATAGTTCAAAGTGTCCTTGCAGAAAACAGCAGTCAGACAAATAGAAAATTATTCTATTCTCTTGGTAACCTGTGTGTGAGGGATTGAGAGAGATGTGATAACACCCTATTAGAGAAAGTCAGTACTTTTTGAGGCAGAGAAAGAATTTTTTAAAAGATGAGAAGCTAGAGTTGATAAGGCTTTTTTTGAACACAGAACCTGTTAAAATAAACTAAAATAAGTGGCTGATAATCATTCATGTGGCCTTCAGTATTGTGCAGTGCTGGTAACTGTAGAATCATCTGGCAGTCTCTATAGTTAGGAGTATGTAAATATTTTCGTTACAAGCAACATTTGTAAGACATGAAGGTTTTAGCTATTTCAAACTGTCTAAGTAGAGCCTTTTTTAGAGATGTAATAACCACCATGAGAGCTTAACTTCTTGATCACCCTACAAAATCCATGAAGTCATTCAGGTCTGAACTGGAAATGTACCTCAGCACGCAGTTCTATGAATTGCCACCAAAAAAAAAAATTCAGCTACTAGGGAGGACAGGAGGGAAATATTTTTTTTTAGTGCCAAAATAGAAAGGGCAGTATTGCTTTCATTTATTCTCTTTTCTGTTTAGGATTTTTTTGTTCTGCATATACCTACTGCTAAATAATTTCAGTACCAATTCCATAACACCATACTAGATCACCAACTGGTCAGCCTTAATGCCTTTGAGGCAAACCAGCTCAGCAAGTCTGGCAAGTTATTTAAATTTCATGTCAGTCAGAGGCCTTATAAGGGTAAGTGAAACTGCCATTTTCTGATACCAATGGCAGTGGGTAAGCCTCTTGAGATTGCTTGAAGGATTTGTCAACAATGTAGTTCCTCAAACAGTAAAAAAAAAAGACTAATCTTTCACAGAAATTCCATAGGTGAATTAAATAAGATCAACATTTTGCTTGTAGTTCACAGTGTTACACATCTGTACATCTATAGCAATACTAGCAATTGTTGTTTTAGTATTAAAACATAAAAACTCTCATACTGAGTGAGATTAATCATCCACCTAGTGCAGTCTTTATTTCCACTCCTGTGCTAGTCTCCCCCTTTTTTCTTCTGGCAGCTTCTCTCCTTTTCCTTCTGGCAGCTTTATCACAGATACTGATATAATTGTAGAATTCATAATGTGCTTCAGCAAATTATTGTGACTTTTATTTTCTGTCTTTTGTCAATATTTAAGAATTTCTCTTACTAAATCAATAACCTTAAGTCTAAAGAGGTAATTATAATATCTGGAACCACTGTATTAAATAATCAGGATGATGTTTAACTAACATTAAGACTTTATTTAGCTGTAAGGGTTACTACACCGAAGTTCTGTTTTCAGTTTTCAGAATACTGTTTTTCATGTACTTTTGTGTTTGCTTCTATGCAAGACACATACTGTATTTTGCAATCAAAAGAATAAAAGAAAATCAAAGAAAAGCCCACCTTCATGTGGTTAAAAAAATACTACACATATCACCTACTGCATTTCTGATTGACAGTTTTTGAAACTAAGATTGACAACATGTAGGATGTAATGAGTGGGAAGATGACTGAAGTGTTCAGCTTATAAAAGAGAGGTCTGCCTTCACAATAGCACTAGAAGTTGTTACAGTCATATGTTAGTGCATTTAAAGAAGAACACAATAAACTGTATCTGTGTAAAAGACCACCAAATGATGTAAATGTCTGCTTTTTAAATTATGATTTGTATTTATGGATCCCCGTATTCACAGATTTGCTTTCTTATGGCAGTGCTCTCCTATTGATATTTTTCATAACTTAATAGACAGCAGGGGAAAGACAGTAATGGCCAGTGAACAGACAGCAATTTGAGACTATGTTCAAACTATGAAGCAAAAAATAGTTAATGAGTGAGAGTTTCCGAGATCTAGTGAAAAGGACCAGCTCCTTTCCACACTGGTTAGAGATAGCCAGCCTTGCATAAGTTTACTAGATCCACACTGCATAGTACTTGCCTCTGTGTTTCAGCTAAACCCTTAAAGTGCTGAGAGATAGTCTCTATTTTACAGGTCTAGGGATTTGGACAGATTTTTTTTTCCTTCTCCTCCCAAATTTAAGTGTCTGAACTAATGTCAAAACTATGTTGGAACTTCCTAGAATATCATTGTATATTAAGAAAAATCAGAGGATCGTATTTTGGAAGTTTTGAGGTATGACATGAGAATATGTGAGGTGCAACTGGGTGAGAATAGTATAGAAGGACTGTATATGGAGGGAAAACTGGCAGAAAACTGAGTTTTATCTGCATAGACTTCTGGGATCATTTAATGAAACAAATTGTCTCCAAAAGCCTGCTCAGGCTTTCTCTTGAAGAGAGATATTTGAAACAGTCTAAAGCATAACTAGGAAAAAAATTACCAGTTAAGCAGGCATAGAGCAACCTTCTTCTTTTATTTATTAGGACAGATGGAACTGCAGATACCAGGAGCCAGGAGTGGGTTCTTACCCCACTGTGCAAAGATTAAATTAGGATTAACTCGTAGGTTAACAACAATGATAATTAACAAGCCTAAAAAAAGTTGCATCATGACTCAAAGCCACAGAGTTTTGTGTTCTCACACTTCTTTCCCACTCTCTTTTCCAGGTAGGGAAATATACCAGTATATATCAGCCTTTTATTTAGAGCAGATGACTGTGTCACTACTCAGCCCATACACTGGAGACCTTTATGCCATTTACAGTCAGCTTTCCAGTTGATCATTCTCCATCCACCTTTAAAGAGGGTTAATACATGGTCCTATAGAGGGTTCTTGCTTCTAATCTTGATAACAGTTACATAGGCAGCAAATTTAGGCAGCATGAATGCTAAACAGCTTCAATTTCTGGTGTGGGCACAAAGCCAGGATCACAATCTGGCTCTTCAAGACTTGACACATTCACAGAACACTGTAATACAGTATTGTTTATTTATAGAAATTTGGACCTGTTTGAACTTTCCTTCTTTTATATCACAGGATAAAAGCTGAAGACATTTCTGTAATCTATAAGACATGATGTGTCTTTCTCCAAACTCCTGCAATAATTAGTGTCCATATGAGTCTAAACCATTAAGATTCCTATGTTAAGGAAATACTGATTATTATCTCACTTTTTTTTCTATTTCATAGAGTCATAGAATGGTTTGGGTTGGAAGGAACGTTAAAGATCATCCTGTTCCAACCTACATGCCATGGGCAGGGTCATCTTTCACAAGACCAGGTTGTTCAAAGCACCATCTGACCTGACCTTGAACCCTTCCAGAGATGGAGCAGCCACAGCTTCTCTGGGCAACCTGTTCTGGTGTCTCACCAGCCTCATAGTGAAGAATTTTTTCCTAATATCTAATCTAATCTAATTCTTCCCTCTGCTATCTTAAGCCATTGCCCTTTGTCCTGTCCCTACATGCCCCTGTAAAAATCTCCAGATTTCTTGTAGGTCCCCTTTAGGCTTTAGAGGCTGCTCTAAGGTCTCCCTGGGGCCTTCTCTTTTCCAGGCTGAACAAGCTCAATTATCTCAGCCTTTCTGCGTAGCTGAGGTGCTTCCAGTTTTCTGATCATCTTTGTGGCCCTCCTCTGGACTTGCTCTAACAGGTGCATGCACATACTTCTGGTGTTGGGGGCCCCAGAGCTGAACACAGTACTGCAGGTGGAGTCTGTGTCCCTGAATTTATAGACATTAACACAGCAAGTGGAGTAAAATCAGACAGAGGGTATAATAAAAATACTAAATAGTATTTGTGCCTATTTAGTGTGACATTGTTTCTTGGTAATTTGAGGATTAATTTCCCATATGTAACAGAAATTTTATTGGAACAATTGTCCTGACACTTTTTAGAATCTTGACACATGGTGAGCCCCAAGCTGTGGGAGTGATTTCCACACATTACATAAGGCTGAAATGTGATGCCTCAGTATTGCACAGGACTTTAAAAGCCATATTTTGCATATGCATATTGGGTTTTAAAGTATGGTTAAATAGTCGTTTGAAAAAATTCTGAATAACAATTGTGTGATGTGCATCCCAGTAAAGTTTGTAGGCAGTGTATAGTGTTTCTGTATTTGTCACAATGAAATATATTCCTAAAACAAGCTTGCTAGCTTCCATTTCTGGAATAAACATGCTGGGTTAGGAAGCATGGTTTTAAACCCTCTTTCTGTCTTGTTTGACTAGGATTAAATTTGACAAGGTATTCAGGCATTGGGGCAAGTAGACAACAAAGGAAGACATGAGCTGTGACTGTTTTTTTGTCACCTTCCTCAAGAGGAGTCATTGTAATGTCTAGTGGAACCACAGCAGAAAGGGTGATTCTACCTGCAAGGCACCATCCAGTAATATTTGCAATACCACAGCATAACTTTAATGGGGATAAGTGACTTTGAAACTTTCACATGTTGCTGCATTGAGTGCAGCAGCAGAAATAAGTTGCAGGGAAGAAACCCTTCACATCTTTTACTCCCTAAACAGCAATTCAGGGAAAAGTGCTTTGGTACTTACTTATCTCTGAATAAAGGCCTTTTGTGAAAAAAATTCTTTTCCTTTGCCAAATTTATCTGTTGGTCTAATGAACAATATTGCTCTGCTCTGTAGCTTTTGCCCTCTTGTTCCTCCCCTTTAGATACTGCAGACACCAGAGAAAGAAAGAGGAGAAAGGTTATTTCCCTTACTTTCTTATCCTTATGCATACAGGTAAGAATCATATAACCTCAGTTTATCACAAGTATTCTCAATTATTTCCATAAATCCTTTTTCTGAAGTATGAAAGGTGTATTTATGTCTTTTCATACTAGCAAATGTTAATGAAGAGATAGAATGTGTAAATACTAATGTCACTACTCACAGAAAAGTCAAATCCTTAAAATTAATACCAGTTCACTTTGTTGTGTGGCAATGCAGGAAACAAGGGGACACATGAAACCATTTTCCTCTAAGCAAACTACTTATGTTTCTCACTTGCCTAAGAACAGGCAGACACAGAAAGATAACCTTTTTAGCTCAGAGCAAAATAAACTGTAAAATAGAAGTGGGGAAGAAGCTGATCATGATGGACTCAGCCTGATCCCATTTCTCCTTTGGAATGCTGCTGTGTACAGACAAGTTTGGATCTTTAACTTGTACTTTAATCCTAGATTTATTACAAAATGTTACATGCTACGTCCAAAGCAATCTCCTGAAAAGCAGTGTATTGACTTCCAGACATCTTTACATATTTGGAGGAGGGGGAGGGCGTTTGTCAGATGTGTGCTAACAAGTACTGGAAATTTATACCTTAGCTGGGAACAGGCTGGATTACATCATTTTTCACTTTCTGCCATTCTAGCATTTGTGAATTTTTAACCAGGTGAATAATTTTTGCAAAGGGAGAATACTACTGATAATCACAGTTGGATGAAGTCGATCAAAACACATTTTCAACCATGTATTGATCTTTGCAAGTTAATGCTTAAGGAATATTAGGATATGCATGCATTTGGTGACTTTGGAGAATGTGTCCATATATCAGTGCAGTCACCCCTCATACACACTCAGAAATGTTGTAAAATTATGGCAGTTTTAAAAATTATTACTCAGGTACATCTTGAGCAAGAATGCCTTTTAGCATATTTATAATATATGTTTTATACCTTTAAATTTTTTACATTCATTTTGTCAGCTAACTCAATGAAATGTGCTTGAGGACTGTGTTCTATTTTCCACTGTCTTGTGCATTAGCGCTATTTTTTAATCAAATAAAAGATGAAAGAATTAGAAAAATTCAGTCATAGTAGAGTCATAGGCAGATGAAAAAGTAGCTATCCCAAATCCACTAAAATATGCATAAAATCATTCTCTTTTTTCCTAGGGCTGCATTATTCCTCCTTTTGTCATTGTGTACCTAACTTTCATTATATGGTATGATTTAGTACTTAGTATGATTTAGTTTGACTTAGTATATGGTATAATTATGGTATGGTTTGATCTGAAAGATAACATAATCTCTTGCTTCAAGTTACTTTCTTGGATCCAAAAATACCAGGGAGTTTTTACAGTGAGTTTCTGAATGGTGTTGGTTCTACCGGATTCTTACCAAGGGGACCTGAAGTCCTACCTAATTTCTAAACAGCTGTTCCGTATGTGTGTGTCCTTTTACAGCCCAGCATAAGATTAGCTGACATATTGAATGCTTGCACATATTTTAAAGGTACTTATTTTGCAGATATAATTATCTATTTCATACTTGCATAACTAAACAGGCACCCAGGTCTACAAGGGCATTCTGAAAAAACAGCCATAATTCTGATCATTTAGTCTGTCGTGCTGCTCGGACACTTCACAGTCACATACTGCTTTTAGCACTTGTCAGAGAAACCTGAAAGTTTTCTTTATAGATTTTAGTCATCTTCAGGTAGAAAAAAAATCTTATCTTCAAAATTCTGGAAAGCCACCTTTTCATTTCTGCTGAACTGTGAAGAAATATTGTACTGCAAGAAAGAGAAGGTATTTGACTCCGAATGGTTAAACAGTGTCATATAGGAAGGTCTACTCTCAACAAATAGTTCTTCCCCCCCTCCCTCCCCAGCCAATGGTGGCCTAATATAAAACAAATATGTATTACAATAAAGAGTATTTGGACTTCCTTTTTCTTTTTTTCAGTTTTAATCATTTCCTGACAAGAGTCTAGCTCCATCTTATTCTACTCCGTCCTCAGGGATTTTACATTTCTGGCTACACAAAAAAAAAAAAAAAAAAAGGAAGAACCAAACCAAAAAACCCATAAGTTTAAGTGACAGGCTTCTTTCCTTTTCAGCTCTTTCAGTATTTTCTTAACATGTAAGTTTAATTCCCTTGCAGCTGAAGCATGCACAGAACCCACCTCTCCAAATTTCTAGGAAAGAGCTCTAACATAATGTATTAAGCAAAAGGTTAAAAACTGCCACTGCTCTATCTCCTTTAAAAAAGCCACCCTTTCATATCTATCTCAGAATGAGATGAGACAAATTAGGTCCTGAGCAGAAAGAATAGCCTAATAGAAAAAGGTAGCTGCCTAACTTAAATATAGTGAATCACATTGTTGAGATTTTTTTGACCTTAATATGGTGTGATGGGGATTTGCAGAAATGACACCCATCCTTCATTGATAAAATAGGAAATTTAAACCCTCTTCTTTTCTGAGAGCTGAATGTTTCCTCACCCCTCCCACAATGACAGCCTCCTAGAATTTAGATCTATCAGTTTAAAGCAATTTTCCAGCCTCTTTTTACATTTTCTTGGTTCTTCCTTTATTCCCTTTCAAATGTAATTTGAGTCTGAAGTTTGAGAACAATGATCCTTTCAACTTTCATGTCCATAGGATAAAGCCTTTAATGACAGCATAGCAGTTCATTTCTTAATTTTCTTTAGAAGGTCAAGAAATATTTCAGTAACAAGGGTTACACCAGATATTTTTCTGATGTTTCGTGACATCTCTGTTTTTTTTAAAAACAAAGAGTAGTTAGTGCAGCTATCTGTCTTTCATTTGAAAATCAAAACTAGTTCTTACCTGGGAGAAGGAAAACGTAGTATTTTCTAAAACTTATCTATATCCATGCTTAAAATACCTTAAAGATTAGAAGAAAACACTTAGCTTTTGAAGAAATAACCTATGCTATTTAAGTGCATTTTAATAGACAAAAGTACCATTGACTAGGTCAAATGTTGGTAAAAGTTCCATGAAATTTGGATAATTTTCCCCTCACCAGTGAGTATTACTCAGCACTAATCTGTAGTGTGCAAAGGAAAATTGCTCCAACATTTCTAATTGCCAGTTCTCTAAAGAGCAGGAAAGAAAAAGGATGTAATTTGTGCCATTATTTTCTTCTTAGCATAAGAAAAAAATCATGATCTGGGTTAAAGCTGAAGTCTAGGCTTTCCTTCTCTGTTTTATATCCTCTAGTGACTTCTTGCTATTCTGCTTCATGTATAAGTGTAAAAAAACGTCTTATATTCAAGTACACCCACCTGCATGGGTGATATATACACACTGAACAATTTCATAGGGAATTAAGTTTTTTCCTTTGTTTCTCTTCTTTAAATATTAATCAGTTCATCTTTTATAAGTAGAATATATAACTGCTCTCTCAATGTTGAAAAGTATTACATTTTTTGTCTAAAGGTATACACTTTCAAAATAAGTATGTCCCTTGAACCAGTTATAGAAGGCTGCTTTCTTCAAAGTAGCTGGCTACCTTTTCTCTTTGTTATGAACAAGCTGCTTTCAATGAATTGTACATATGTCCTGTTTTCTGCTTTTCAGCATTGCCAGCCCTAGACAATTTCTTTCTTCTTTCAGACATCTTAAAATTCAATGAGACCTGTATTTGTGGCTTGAGTTTTGGATCTTGAATCACATGCTAACATGCTTATAGTATGAGAAAGATTACTGTTTGACTTTTTAAAAAGACAAAAGGAATTTGCCGTGTTCAATTGATTTTCAGCAGACTCAGAAGATAGCATCTTGTTTATCTGATTAGGTGCATGAAAAGCTTTCCAAAATAAGTGAATATCACCTAAGCAGTATTCTTCATAATCTTAAATCAAGAAATAATAGCACATTTCTTTACAGATGGCAGGACAGACAGCTGAACGGTACTGATTCTACTGTGATGTTATCCCTTTTTAGGTTATTATCTTCAGCAACAGCTTTTGCTGTTTTATTAGCTTCAATTTAAAATATAGGTGCTTCTAATGTTCTTTCAAAGCCTCTGCTAATAATAACAGGTAAAGTGAATTTGGGGTTTAGTACAACTAGTTCTTGTTACTTGAACAACCATTCTCTAGGAGGTGCAAATTAAAATGAGAACTAGAAATGATGTTCAAAATGTACTATTTTTTTTGTTTAATAGTAGTGTAACTACAGGATAAACCTGTTCATACCATTGCATTTTCATCGACTATACCATTATTTATATAAGAAAAGATGACAGTGAACACAGAAGAAGAAAGATGTTAATTTAGGGAGACACACTGTCTTTAAATGTGATTAAAAAAAAAAACAACCTTCAGTACAAAGCAGGTGTATGTGTGGCTAGTTTGTTTGGCAGCTTTTCATAGCCATAGGAAATACCCTGACCAGGCCAACTGTCCGATGTTCATACTACCATCATTTAGCAGGGTACCTCTTACTTTTTTCAGCTCCAACAGATCCTATACTATGTGGTATTCTCTGAGTCTTTCTACTTAGAAAAGACTGACTATCGCAGCATCCCTTATGCTTTGGGGCTGAGTGACCATCTATGGGGTTTTTAGTGATTTCCACAATTTTATTTAAGCAGAAAATGTCAGACACCACTCCATTTATTCTCTACTGAAGAAATATAATATGGATTAGCTTAGGTCATAAGTTTTTACCTTCAAATGGCTCATATCTCATATTTAAAAATAAGGCTGCATGATATCATTTCCAGATTGAATGTATAAAAAATGAAGAAAAAAGTGCAGATATTTCCTTAGAATACTAGAATTATACTTTTTTCTCTGATGTAGGATTTAATTTCTTTTTTTCCCCTAGGAAAATTATTTAAACAAATTTGTTTTAATAACAGTATATCTGGAGATCTTGAAGACTGAACTGTTGAGGACTTCCAGCTAGAACCAAAATGAGATCTGTTCTGAACATCTGAAGTACCAGGTAATACAAGACACTCTGAAATTCATGTAATGAGTGTCAGATTTGATTATTCTAAATTTAGAAATACTTCTTCAAATTTATGTTTCTTTTCCCTACCTGACAAGTATCCCTGACTTTCCATTGTCTCACAGTGGTGTGAAATTATACTGAAATATATTTGTGAAACATTCAATTAATTCAGAAAAGCCAATATGTAAATAAATAATTCCCCCTTAAGAAAAAATAAAATAATTAAATAAAAATACTTGGCAAATAAATCCAATTGAGATATACAAGTGAGCTCTATTCATTTTGTATATTGAAGAATCTTCCTGTTCAACTTGTTCCAGTCTCTGTTCCCTGCTGTTTCTATTTTTCCTCTGTTGCAGTTTCCAGTCAGACCAGTATAATTCTGTACTAGGTCTGGCTGGAATGGAGTCAACTTCCTTTGTAGCATCCCATATGGTGCTGTGTTTTACATTTCTGACCAAAACTGTGTTGATAATATACCAGTGTTTTAGCAATTGCTGAGTGGTGCTTGCATAATATCAGGGACTTTGTTTTCTCACTCTGCTCCCACAGGGACTGGGCTGAGAGTGGGCAAGATGTTGGGAGAGGACAAAACTGGGAGAGCTGACCCCAGCTGACCAAAGATATATTCCATGCCATATGATGCTATGCTCAGCAATAAAACTAGCGGGCAGGGGAGTAATTTCTCCAAGGTAGCCATTGCTTGGAGACTGATTTCTCTCAAGGTAGGCATTGCTTGGGCACTGGTCTGTTTGTTGGAGGTGGTAAGTGACTCTTTGTACCACTTGTTCCTTTGGGATTTTTTTTCCTTTATTTTCTTCACTTATTAAATTGTTTTTATTGTGACCTATGAATTTATCCTCATCTTTTTCTCCCTTCTGATTCTGTTCCGCATCCTGATTGGGTGGGAGAGTGAGAGACTGAGTGAGGGCTTTACTGTTGGCCAGGGTCAATCCACCATGAATTTTTAGTTGATTGTTTCTGTCTTTGCTTCCACTAATAGTTCTGGAAGACTTTGTAGAATCCGATGTCTTCTTCAGGCTAAATGCCCTACGTATTTGAATCAAAGGAGTGAATATTTCATAATTTCTTTTTACCAGTGATGTAGATTGTAACTCAAGTACAGGAGAAGCAGATTCTCCTCTTTTAATTCAAGCACTGGGGCTTAACCCAGAGCAGCAGGGAGCAGGAAAAATCCCCCTGTTCTATCCTGCCTCTGAGCTGGATGTTCATTTCCTGCATATTTTGGTGTATGCAGAGTCTGATCACACTTGAAGCTGTGATAGAAATATGTTTATTGAGGGAAAAAAATAACCAGAAGCTTATTAGGTAAACACTATCAAGTGCTCAGCAGCATGAACAGTAATTCTTTCTTATTATGACTTTTCTATCCTGGGCAGAATTTTTTTTTCAGATCTCTATCATTGCCATAAAGCCTCAGTCCTCCTGCCAAATTCAAAGACCCTGTTTCAAAATAGTCAGGTGCTAGAGCATTTCAAAGAAAAGGTGTCAAGAGTATTTAAACATTATCAAAACAATATATATAGTTACTATGTTCCAGAAAAAAATGGACTTGTCCCACTTTATTTCTTACAAAAATTTTGGATCAAAATATCATCATTCAGCAGTCTAATAAGTGTCTGTAGAAAATATCTTAGTCCAGAGAGCACCTGAAAACATTAATGCTGGATAATTTTACCAATCCTGTCAGTTTTGGAAAAGGCCTTCCTACAAAATATACTAAACTCATATTGCAATATCTAGCATTCCAGAAACCCTTCTGAAGGCACTGACCTTCACTAATTCAAGCATAGTAGTACAGATTTATGCCTGAAAATTTGCATCTTTCATATTAAATTTAAATTTTTCTGCATCACCTGATCTTATGAGCTTAGAATTGTACAAATTTTCTATTTATTAAAAAAACAGAATTAGTATTCAGTTCAAGAATCAAGGATATCTTCCTTATCTGACATAGGTGTTGAGGTATCAAGGATTATGCAGCCTCCTAAGGTTGAACACAAACATTCAACTATCAATATTTTTCAGTCTCCTTATACTTTTCATTGAACAGGCAGGTGAATGGAAAATATGGATTTTAAAATGTTCAACACTGATTTAAATCTGCTCCTCATGAGTAATGGATTTCAGAGCTAGATTCATAAAGAAACTGCAGTGCAGAATTGCTAAATTTTGCTAATTCTAGTATCCATATATATAGCTTCAACAATTTTTTTACTCTGGTTCCTTAAATCCTACTGACTTATTAGCACCAATAACGGTCTTGGAGTAATTCCAACATAACATCATGGATAGAAAAAATAATTTCTACAAATACATAATAATCTTAGGTGTTAATCTTGTATGGAGAGCCACTAGTGTGGGTCCCTAATCCCATTAAAAAAAACAATAAAAGATTTAGTAAAAATTGTGAAAAAATTTTGTTGTGCCTATTTATTATTTTAGCAGGGTACAAATATATTCATGGTCTTATTACATAATGATTAAAGGGTGAAAATAGAATTTAATTTGTAAGGTACTAGTTTACGATGACATTTTTATAGTTCTCAGGATAAAACTACATAGAAATTAATACACTTGGAATGAAATAATGGGAATAAGTTCATAAACCAATGCTCTGAACAACAAGTAGCTGCAATTCAATATATGTAAAAAGTAATGAAACCAAGCTGGATAGTGTAAACTTCAGTGGAAAAGACATCTCTTGAGATGCAGTCTTTTTGCAAAGCTCTTGAATGATTAATGCAAATAGTATTTCACTTGTGGTTGTTTGTCGAAGTGGGTCAAGAACACATATGTTTATATCACACACAGAAATGATGTTAAATTTTAAAACTTTAAGAAATTCACAAGAGCCAGACATGCTTTGCATTATAATTTTCACTATGTCTACAGTACATCCCCCCTGTGCCTTCATAATTACAAGGTTGTTAAGGCTTGAAATCAGTGCTTTTATGTCATCAGTTAAAGGTTAATCAAAAGCCTTATCTTTGAATTTTACTTTCTTGGGTTAAAGGCAATTCGTTAAAACAACACTAATGCATTTCCTTTTTCTATATGAATTTCCTTTTATTAATGACAGCTAAAATGCAGAAGAAAATAAAAGGAAAATGTCTCAGAGGGAAAATTTTTAAACAAATATACCCTATATATCTTCATTAGGGGTATATCTTAATTTTCTCATTCAGAACAATTTGATTTTAGAATTTGCAAAAATGCAGAACTGTTGGAAATTGGATAGGAAAAGCCACTGTCTGATTACACAAGTAAATAAAACCATTCTTGAGGCATGTCTGTAGAAACTTCTGCAGAAGATTTCAAATGTTTCCATACACATCTTTTAAATCTCTACAGATGCAAACTGAATCTAAACGAAAATCTGCAGAGTCACAGCTGTGGTCTTACTGAGCTAATGAAGCTATACTGTGAGTGAGCCTTTCAAGGTATTCATGGCTATGCTCTCATATGTGAACACTGTAGTCAGGCAAAGATCGTTGAAGTCGTGTTTGCGAACATCCTTTTCTAGGAACATTGCATGATTCAGTCCAGGGTTTACTTACAGCACACAGACAATTGCTTTGCCTAAATTTGATCTCAGAGACATAGTTTTAGTCTTTAGTTCACCCTTGCTTTCGACTTTATTGTAGTTGCCAATTATTACTGGTCATTTGCAATTGCAGTTACTGTCAACTAAGAAAAAACAAAACTGTGGTAGAATAAGATCTTATTGAACTATGGCAATATTATGGTTAATTTACTTTCAAACATGAAATATGTGTATCCTCTGCTGATGACTGAATATTTTTTTTCCAAGTCAGATAGCAATAAAATCTCCTAAAAGAGTACTTAGCTATGAAATCTCCTAAAAGAGTACTTTCCTTTAAGAGGGCTACACATTGTTGTTATCTCAGTGAGCCAATGTTCCATGCTTAGAGATCCTCTAAGTAACATTTATTCTCACTATACTGGTTGAACTATTTTTAATTGTGTAGTATTTATCTATATATGTTATTATCTTCTGGTTATATTAAACTGTAACTCTTTAATTAAAGTTGAGACAAATTCATTAATTAATGTTGTATGAATTTCTTGAGAAAAACTTTTGAACAAAAAAGAATAAATTGAATAATATTTTAGCTCAGGAAGATTACTCTCAGTTGTTCATCGTAATGGGAATTAGCACATACTTATTGATATTTAATAATATTCTGTTATACCATCACTTGTTTGTCCTATAGCATTTCACACATAATGTAGACAATTTGAAAACATGTAAAGCATTATAAGGACTGACTGAGGAGCAGATGGACACATCTGAACACAGTAGACACTATAATGGCTGTGTAAAGCTGACTCTGACTTCAGCACTTTACAGTAGTTAAAAATATAACCCAAGCCAAAAGAATTACTCAGATAACAGATCTATTCTGCAGGATGAAATGTGGGGAAGTTGTCAGTGACTATAGTCTGAATCAGTCAGATGAATAGCAAATATAGCTGAGAAACATAGTAAGAAAACAGGTCTAACAGCTGACCAAAATGGAGACAAGGCTAATTGTGTCTTCATTTAGACATGAAGGAAATGCCAAACATAAGCAGGAAAGTATGCATATGCATTTTTTTCATCAGTGATTACCCCTTCTGTGTGCAACTAAATCATGTTTTGTTTTCAAAGATGCCTTCTAATCTTTGGACACACTTCCTGCTTGCAAACTCACAAGGGAAATTTTTACAGGTGCCAAGTGCTGAGGTTGGCTGATTCCGTGTTTGGAAGCCTAAGAAGTATATATTGGAAGCTCAATTAAAGAATGTTTGCACTATGGGCTTCTGACCCAAAAATAACAAGTGGAGGCCCAGTCCTTTGGAAAGGATTCTTTCACAAAAATCTGAATAAAGTATTTTGGATAGCTTAGCCACAAATCATGACAAAAGATTCAATTGATCTCTTAATAAACTTTTTAGAATAACATGATGAGAAACAGAAGATGGCTGCTGTTTTGGCATGTGCAAACCAAAGGACATCCTCCTTTGATTGAAGAAAATGTATCTAGCTTTCTGTACTAGGCACCTTCTGTCAGATCAAGATCAATTTCTGCAGCTGCCTGCTACAGATGAAGAGAAAGTCCTTTAGACATTGTAGCTGAACATCCTTGAGCTATTTTCTGACTAAAGATGCTGTTCTTTCCTTAACTTTTCAGGACTTCCCAAAAGACAAGTATTTGAAAAAATTTTCTATAAACTGGACAAGCGAAACAAGAGAAAGGCAGAAAACAGAAGTTTTAAGAGAAAAGAGACAAACACCCTTTACACTTGGGAAAGGTTGAGACATTGCAGAGCTCAGTGACTGGGCTGTGTGACAACCAGAATCTAAAACTATAATTTATCAGCAGGTGAGACCAGATCATCTGTATAATAAATACTGGGGATGTATGTTTTGCTACAGGAATAGGAACCAGAGTCATCAAGGCCACTTTGCCACTTTTGCAGGCAGCCAGAATAGATATTTTAATTGTTGTGTAAT